AAAAGGCAACGAGTTTGGCCTCTGAAAATCATCCCACCATTCCATACTTCTCCAATTCATTTGTTCTGCTTCTGTTCGTATTTCTTTTGTGGGTTTTGGTAGTGAAACGTTTTCACTACCACGGGTAGATAGGAGAATTCTTGTGAGTGAAATAGTGAGGTTGTTCCGGGAAACACCGAGTGTTCTATTTCCTTGTACCTTGAAATTCTCTGTAACCTACTGTTGCAATAGTGAAGAAATACTGTGGAGCTGTTGTTCCCGTGGACTGGCCCTAAATCAGGGTATACCACGTAAATCCTCTGTGCCATTTATTATTGTCTATGCTTGTTGTCATTTTGAGAATAGTCGTAGTATATTGCGTTATTAAATTACCGAAGTAAATTGATCTAAGTAAGTTGGTTACCGTAATTCTGGAGGCTCTGCCACCAGGTCCAACTTACCTGTGAACTTTTTTACAAGCGTGTGATTTTTTAATCCAATATATTTACCCGCTATTCTCACCCGCTGCGCCCAACAGATCGAAGAGGCACAAGCAGATATGTGTGTGTCAAGGATCCCACCAGCACGACGGCAGGCGGTTGTGTCGCTTTGTCCATTTCTCCCATTTGATTCGGAAATCTCACTTAGTTTTGGCGGTGTGATAAAATCGACGACAAGTTTGGCGAACTGTTTTTGGGTTTCCACTGTCCCCTAACAGTTTACAACCCAGACCAAGAATTTTGGGTTTTCAAAACTACTGTAAGCACCCATCCTTTTGCCTTTGAGGATTTTCCTTTTATCTTTTTTCCCCTTAAACTTTCGAATGTGTTTATTATTAGTATTGGAGTGTGATTGATTATGAAATTGGTTAAATATGAATCGTAGTGAAGATTTTGTTTTTATATATTTTGGTTTTTGGGTTCTCCAGGACTCGATTTCGGCGGCCTTCTTCGAGTACCAGGTGACTGTGGTGACTTGATGGAGAACTCAATCTCGTTATCGTCACCAACATAGGAGTTTCCAGCTTGTACCTCTGGGTTTGCGCGTTGAAGTTCTTGCAGAAGGCCATAAGCTTCAATCGAGCAAGGCTTGTCGGAGGTCCGGTTTGAGGGCGATGCGAAAGTGATTATTGACAAAATTAATCAAGCCGACACAAGAGATAGCTGGTTGGGTACTGTTCTGGAAGAGATTGGTCATTATTTTCGTACTCAGCCTGGCTTTAGTGTGCATTTTGTAGGTCGGGAGAACAATAGGGTAGCTCATTTGGTAGCTAGGAAAGCCTCTCTTTGTATCCGACTATGAGTCGCTTCTTTGATTTCCACACCTGGCTGGTTTCCAAGAGCACTTAAGTAGTAAGAAGCAGCTTGATGTGGCAGGCTATGCTCTAAATGACTAGCTCACTTACAAGAGAAATTACGAGGTAAATGATCGAATTGAATAAAATTGGTTTAGCCCATCTTCACCGGGATATATGAAATTATTGGTTCCACATGTATTGTACTTGTATATTTATAAAATTTTATGATAAAAATTTAGGTCAAGTGATGGTTAATATGATTCATTCATTGAGGCTTAATTGCATTAATTGAAACTTTATTTTTACTTTTTTCTCTCTTTTACAAATGATGTTTTTTTCCCTAAATTCCAACCTTTAGTCCAACAACCAATGAAAAAAAATGACACTTTAATTCACAAATCTTTCCTTCTTTCCTATTCTCCTTTTTTATATTGCTAGATCTAATATTTCATTCTAAATATTTATTTATTCTTTTTCTCCTATTCGATTTCAAGTACATTACATATATGAACTTGGCCTCTATTAGTCACACAAAGTTTCTATGCAAATGCATTTACTCTAAATTATTTTTTATTCTTCTTTTTAAGAGATATGCTCGATTTGCGCTATTTTCACTTCATAATATTATCCTCAACTAATTTGTTTGCATACATAATGTCATTATGTTTTCTAGTAACTAATATTGTAAGTATGTGACTAACATATTTAAGGTCTTATAAAGAAAATTTTTATGTTTTATACTTTAGTGCTCTATAATACTGGAGAGGGTTATTTATTAATTTCTCATTTTTCAATTTGAAATGAATATGATATTCAACAAAATTTCAAATTTGGATAGTAACTGAATTTCTTTTTCCACTTGATTTTCTCATAATGTTTACGATTACAAATAAATTACATCAATCCTAATCATCATTCATCCAAATTGATATGATATATTATACACTTGCTCAACTTAAGGTTCGCCATTTAAAAACATCTGAATCGTTAAGCATCCACGTTTTTTACGTCACTTTTATTATTTTAGTTTTTTAAACTCAACAGCGTTACTAAGATCTAAACATACACCTATAAAGCTTAGATTTATTATACTTTAAATTTTCTAACAAGTAAGACAAAACTATATTTGATGATATTGACTGCAAAACTAAGAAGATAAACTCCGTCAATTATATTAAGATTGGGACTATCACGTCATTAAACGGGTTCAATATATTACTTCTAATTTTTTATATTTTCACTTCATCGTTAAAATCAGTATTGAATCAAAATTTAGCTAAATTTGGAGTTGATCTTATGATATAAACATATATTTTATAATTATAAATAGGTAACACCAATCTAAATGATCAACTAACCAAAGATAGGTTAATTATAATTTTAAATGATTAATAATTATAAAAATAAGTATTCATCTGATGAATGACAGCAAAGCTAGTTGTATACTACATCGAGATCACACAAACATTGCACGCCAAATTAATATCCATAATAATGATAATAATTGAGATTATACTCTCTATTTATCGAAGCATCGTCTCAATTTTCTTAAATTTTCTCAAATCTACTATACATTGTCATCCAACGTTTATTGAGTCTAGTGCTAGTTTGTGTCACCCCCCTTTACACTAAACGCAATCTAACAAACTTTTGTCGATTTTCTTTTATTCTACAACAATATATTAATTAGTTACTCAAGCGAATTCCTGAACGTCACTAGTTGCTCTGAAGCTTGGGAGGTTTGGATTGACGACAAGGCCGGATCGATCAGCATTAATTGGGGTTGGTATATTGTTGGTCATAATAGCTTTGAAACTATTTTGAATTAATTATTAAGTGTTCTTTAATTTTCGGATATGAAAATAAAAAGGAAAATTAATAAAAGAAATATTCGGGAGATAATCAAGACCTTCTAAACACAATTCGGAGAGCAGATACACGAGAAAGTGAGATTCATAAAGCTCTGGTTTCGCACAACCGGAAATAAACAAAGAGTACTGGTGGTTTTATCTCGGAGGTGTCCTGTAGATAATCTGTTGTGCGCAACGAGACAGTACCACGAACGTCTTAAAAATAGCGATCTAATCCTTGACTCGAAAAAAATTGGTAACCGTAATTTTCATACTCGGTTTCCAACAATATCTTGGTAAGCCATACCAGCTGGTCTCTTTGGCAATACTAAGTGGGGTTTTCATAGCCTGACTACTTCCTAAGGAATGATGTGTACGTAAGATGTCGCATGCATGCACGAGAAAGAAAAAACACAACCAGAACACATTGTTCAAAGATAAGCTGGGGAATAAGTACGTCAGAATAAGATCTCCAGGAGCATAAAACAACTATCCAGCAAGGGAGAGGCTCGGTGAAACGTAACTAACTGAAACGTAACCATCTCATGCAACACTTGCTTAGCCTATATACTCAGGCTCGATCTCACCGCAACTTTTAGTTAGTTGCGTCCATTTCTCATAAAAAAGGAAAAGATCGAGTTGGTTACGTTACGTCCGCCCATGCATAGCCCTAGATAGCTTGGTTACGTCACAACTACAATTGGTTGTCATATCATCTTTATGTCACAACTTCGTTCTAAGACCAGGTAATGATATTTTAAGATCGAATTAAGATCAAATCGGTTACGCTATGTCGATCTTCCTATATATGATTCCATCATGCAACGATGTCATATATATCTCCATGTACAAGTTTGAGCTTGCTTACCTCATCGATCGTTGTGTGATTAGGACACATGAGGGGTGTAGAGAGATAAGACCAGGTACGTACGTACGTACATGTATGAACTTTGCTAAGCCATAGGCTTAATATAGTGATGAAGTTGGGGTTTGTGCTATTACGTTATGTGTTTAATTTGTTAATTATAATATGGGTTTACGTTTGGGTTATTAGTCAGTAAGTGGGTTAGTAGTACATAGGTTATAAGTAGTGCATGGACCAAAGTGTGGTACATAGGTTAGTAAGTTTGGGCTAAGTAGGAGTCTGTTAGGGTGTTGTCCGAGTTGGCTATGGTAGTTAGTAGGGTTTGGGGGTCATTGGAGTTACATATTTGGTTTTTAACATCTATATATTGTAATACGACATTAGTCCGAGACATCCAAATCAATAAATAAAACAAGCTTTTGACACTTAGGTCGTGTTCTCCCTTATGAGTTGTAGGCAAAATTCTTGAACCGTGAGTTACGATTCATCACGTAGTTAATATAACCTTTGTTTATTGAGAGTTGTTATTAACGATAGGGCATTAGTTGGCGTAAGAGGTATAAGTTACGTCTGTTAGTAAATTGTATATGATCCATTATTGAAACTCTTCCAACACTCGAGTTATTGGGAATTTGGGATCAACTGACAATGTCCACTTGTACATGCACATAAGGATTACATAACAATTGAATCGGTTACGTAACACAAGATTAATAGTCATTAAATAAAAGGACACTCCCTAACGTAAAGTTTCCGTAATGAGATTTTACAACGACTACATAAGTTAAGTATACATTACGTAATCATATAATGTCTATGGTATTACATTATAATGTCTATGGTATTCTATGTAATGTGAACTGCAAAAACCTACTAAGGAAAAACAATCAAAGTTATGTAACTTGAAAGCACGGTAGGAATTTCATACTATTATAAATAGGGATAGAACGAAGGTTTTCATTTCTCGCAACCCCACAACCAAACAAACTATCCTCATCTTTGATATATCATGCTCCCCCATCTCCAAAAGTCAATTAGCCACACACCAGCAACCATAATGTTGAGGGTTCTCATGATCAGTTGCGCGATCCTGTTGTTGTCGCTGCTGCCAGCCCCGACGGAGTCCACCAATTACCAATTCGACGACGGCGGCGGCAGTGCTGCTGAATCTTCTTCCTCCGATGCTGTTTACATAGTGTATATGGGTGCAGCAAACCCAGACAACTTTGCTGCCAAGGAAACGGTCCTCAACTCTCTCCTTGAAAGGTGACAAGTGACAACGCGCCCAGTTATTAAATTAATCATATCTCTTTCTTAACCATTCGGTGTTTATATGTGTCTTTTGCGTGTGTTTATTTAGGTTTCGTTTGGAAGTTGTGATTTCAATTGGTGTATTGACCTAATTTATGTATTTGTGAGATTGAGTCGTTTTTTTGACTTATATAGAACTAGAATACATGCATTTACTTTTTGGAGGTCCCACCACAATCACTCAATATTGAGGGATTTACAATCTCTACTTTTTGTTGAGATTGTTCACAATCACTCAAAACTAACTTTTTTACCTTTAGAACAAAAACACAATCTAAATCTCCAAACAAGATATTTGCCTAATATATCAATTGATTCAAAAAATCAAATAATAATACACTAATTGTCTCAATACATTAATTTGAAGAATCACAACTTCTAAACAAGCCCTTAATTGTGAGGCGTTTGAGTTTTTGGCAACGGGGGAGGCGGGAGACGGACGTTCTGAGGAGGTACAGTCATGGGCTATCGGGCTTCGCGGCCTATCTCTCGGCGACGGAGGCCCAGTCCATCGCAGCCTGTCCAGGAGTAGTCTCGGTGTTCCGCAGTTCCAACTTGAAACTCCACACGACAAGATCCTGGGACTTCCTCCAAGAGCTGCAGAGTGAATCCGACGCCGTTCCGCCCAGCAGCTGCCGCAGCAACAAACAACCCGACAGCAGCAACGTTGTAATCGGAATCTTCGACTCCGGGATATGGCCCGAGTCGGAGAGCTTCCGACTGCAAGGCACCAATCCCAGCGTGCCACGTGGATGGAATGGCACTTGCATGGCCGGAAGAAACTTCAACATCACAGCCTGCAATGGGTACGTACGTACGGAATTAATTAATTGATTACCCCACTGTCACTATTTTATTCATCATTTTTATTTAATTTGTTGCCACAGGAAAATCATTGGTGCCAGGTACTACACAAACATCAGCGACACCCCAAGAGACTTAGACGGCCACGGGACCCACGTGGCGTCGACGGCGGCGGGAGTTGCCGTGGGCAAGGCTTCCTACTACGACGGACTTGCAGCCGGCACCGCCCGGGGAGGCTCCGAGTCCGCGAGGATCGCAGTGTACAAAGTGTGCCAGCGCAGAGATTGCCCGGCCTGGCTTCTTCTCGGCGCGTTCGATGACGCAATCGCCGAGGGCGTCGACGTCATTTCCCTCTCGCTCGGCTCTGACGATTCCGGAGACTTTCTCAGAGACCCATTGGCCCTCGGTGCCTTCCACGCCGTCGAGCACGGGATCGCCGTCGTTTGCGCCGGCGGAAACAGCGGGCCCCGCCCCTCGACGATTTCGAACGATGCGCCGTGGATCGTAACGGTGGGCGCCTCCACGGTGGACAGGGCTTTCCGATCCAACATCCTCCTGGGCGGAGGGCAGGTCGTAAAGCTACGCTGCCTGGCGTTCAATAATAAATTATCTTTTTTTTTTCCGCTAAAGGTAATTAATTAAATTGACCAGACAGCTAATGCGTACGTATTATTATAATTATAATTAAACTCCTTAAAATTGACCAGGGCGAATGGATAGGGCTAGCCGGTCTGATCAGTCGATCGCCGATCTACCCGCTGACAGACGGCCGATCAGCAAAGAAAGGCAATGTGTCCTTCTCTGCGGCAAGGTACGTACGTACGTACGTAATCTTAGTTGTTTATATTTACTTCTTCTTCTTCTTCTTGTTCTGATGGACCAACCATTATATTTGTGCCTCGTTTAATCTAATTCTATTCAATCTAGAGAAGTTGCGAACCCAATTCCCTAAGCAAAGAGAAAATGGAAGGCAAAATTGTGATCTGTGACGTTAAAGACGGCGGTTTTGAGTATGACTACGATGACCAACTGCGAGAGGTGTTCTCGAAGGGCGGTTTAGGTGTAATAGTGGTGAAGAACATTTCCAAGAGGGTGACTGAAAGTCTATGGGATATACCCATTACCGCGGTCGGTTCTAGGGAAGCAGCACAACTTATGGCCTATATCAAAGCTACCCGGTATATATACGCACGTAATTTATATATCCAAACTGAAATTAAGTTGATACATTACTTCAACTTACAAATGACACACTGATCCAACCAATACAAACAATGCAATGCAGGAAACCTTTGGCAACCATCCTGCCGACGGTAGTTGTGGGGAACTATACACCGGCGCCAGAAGTTGCATTCTTCTCCTCCAGGGGGCGTTCTAACAACTCGGCCCACATTATCAAGGCAAATACGATGAGACTGATTTCTGTGTCGTCCAATTAAGTGTTTGTACATACCCGCTATCGACTGATGATTTTTTGTATTAATTTATTTGGTTATTATAATTAATCATCACTTGCTTTGCTTGGCAGCCTGACATCACTGCACCTGGAGTCAACATCCTTGCCGCTTGGACAGGTGACGACGACCTCGATAAGCCAAAAGGAAGGCCTCAGTCAAGCTTCTACCTCGACTCTGGAACTTCCATGTCGTGCCCTCACGTTACAGGGGTTGCCGCCGACATCAAGGCTCTCAACCCATCTTTCACCCCATCTGCCATTAAATCCGCAATAATGACCACTGGTACGTACGTACTCGTAAAACAACATTCATTCTAAGAAAATAAAAACAACAACAACGTACAAATGAGTCAGCCTTTGGTTTCACTAATGAATCACATGATTTTCCTTTGTGGTGGTTGTTGCTGCTGTTAATTACCTGCTTTTTCGAGCAACAATCTGGGATCTCGTATTACAACTCACACCGGAGAAGAGGCCAGCCCATATGATTTGGGCGCAGGGGAGCTGAATCCAATGGGATCGCTCAATCCAGGGCTCGTCTACGAGACTGACGTGACTCACCACTTGTTGTTCATGTGTTATTACGGCTACGACACCAACACCGTAAGCTGGATATCCAAAGTTGCTCGCTCCTCAAACTTCTCCTGCCCTCCAGACTCGCGATCGGACCTCATCTCTAATCTCAATTTCCCATCAATCTCGGTCGGACTGACGGGAGCCAATCGAACCAGAACCGTTCCGAGGGTCTTGACAAATGTCGCCGGAAATGGAAATTGGACATACAAGGCCGTGGTCGAATTTGGAGGAGCTGCTCGCTCCTCAAACCATAAGCTTTGCTTTGCTTTGACATAGAGCTCGCCAAGACACCCAATGTCCTTTGCACCCCACAAAAATCTAGCAATATGTCTATACAATGCATATCACGTCCCCTTTGAGATTATGAAATAGGACGTTACATGCACCGGAAGAGTTGATACTACTGATTTAATGAGTGTTGGCTTTGCAGCTAAGGACAATTAGTGAGTCATCCAACCTGTTAGCCGTTTCATTAGGCGCTCTTCCAAAAAGCCGAACGTTTCCACCTTTGATTATGCAATAAGAGATGGAAGACTTAAATATTTATCTTTAACTCCAATTTCCCCCACACCCAGTAAAACAGCTATCTCTGTCGCATCAGACCCTGTGACATTTCTACTAAAATATATTCTCTTTCTCTAGGTTTAGCTTTTCACCGCTAATCTGCTCATATTCCTGCAGAATGCCCAACAACACCTCACATTCCTCACTAGAAGAATAGGTGTGATATGACCGGGCAATTCCTCCCCACTATAATTTCAGGTAAACTCTTTATTGCTGCTCATTCCCTTTCTAGAAGAGCCTTCAGTACAGATAACGAACAACAATGGAGATAGTGGATCCCCTTGTTGTAAACCTCGAGTGGGATGAATAAGGCAACTCGATTAATCGTTCATTAGAATCGAAAAATTTGTAGTCGTGACTCATTGTCTAACCAAGTTAATCCATCGAGAGCAGAAACCTATTTTTGCCATTAATGCAAATAGGAACAATCATTCGACGCGGTCATACCCCTTCCTATCAGAACATTCTCAGCTATTTGTCTTTCTCTTATAAAAGCATAATAACCTTGAGAAACAATTTGTGGCAGAATCCGAGCCAATCTTTCTGCCATGATATTGGATATTATCTTATACAAGAATTGATCGAAACCTATTGGTCGAATCTATCTGCTTCATCGTTTCTCGCATCTACCTTAGGAAGTAGAGCTATCCATGTATTGTTTATATTTCTTATAGAGGAGTCCAATCTGAAGAAATTGCATATTGCTTTACTTACTTGCTCCCCAATTATATCCCAAAAGCTCTTAAAGAAGACCCCGGTGAATCCGTCCGAGCCCGGAGCCTGCCTTGCCCCCAATGAAAATGTAGCACTCATCACTTCGACTGGTTCAACAAGTGCAACCAGCCCTTCATTCATCTTCACAATAACCTTTTCCAGTATTGGCAAATTTGCCACTGATGTGGAAACTAGAATTAGATTAGTTGATGCTGTAAATATCTTTCGGAAGTATACCTCCGATACTTCTACCTTAGCCGCTTCATTTGTCACCCATACTCCATCCTTATCTCTCAACCCTGCTATAAAATTTCATTTTCTGCGATCCCAGGTTGCAATGTGAAAGTATGTTGTGTTTTTGTCACCTTCTTTCAACCACTTCACTCTTGATTTTTGTTTCAAGAACATTTCCTCCTCAATTCCTTTTCTATCTTTCGAACTTCATCCCAATTAGTTGGAAACTGATTTCTTACCTCTTGTAACAGTTGTCGCGGCCTTTTGATTGTATAAATAACAATTTTTAGCATATTTTTACTTTAATTCAATTTCAAATGATTAATAACTTAGCTAAGCCCCAAGAATAACAGAATATATCATGACCTAAAGGAAATCAGTTTTTACTTTAATTACAATGACATCCAAGGAATGAGTAAAGGATGCGTTGAATATAGGACAGCTGGAGATGGCGTCATATTGGAAAGATGAACTACAATTTTTTCAGTCATTAGTCTAGAGTTTCACACCCTAATCTGTTTCCTTCTCACACAAGGCATTCGACCTCTTTCCTAACCCTTGTCTCACTCGAATTCCCTTTCTCCCCTCACAAGAAACATTAATTAAATACTAAAGAAGACTATCAAAAATCCTAATTCAAATAGAAGACAAATAATTTTTCTTTATTTTCTTTAACATGAAGCTTTGTAGTTTATAATTACAACCCAAATATCCTAAAATAATACAAACACTTAATAATAAATAAAGATATTAAACCTAATTCTTCGAACCGTGACGTCGACTCAATCTCGTAACATTGGACTAGATTTTTCGAGATTTTGATATTAGGAACAAAGCATGCACTAGGCACTACAACAAATTCGGCTTTTTATGACGAGGCGATTTTGTCATATTAGATATCCATTTTGTCATATTAGGTATAATATGACAAAAGGTGTTGTCACAAAGGTTTGTCATTTTATCGCCGTCAAGATAGATCAAATGTGACAAAAATTTAAAACAAGGTTGTCACATTTGCTTTCAGTATAGCTGAAGTTCTGGGTAGTCTATTGTGACAAACATAGATGTTATGACGATATATATGGTCATTGCGGTTGTCATAATCTGGTGATTTTGGGAGAAATCGTTTTCGGAAAAACCGACACAAATTATAAATTCAAAAAAAAAATTCCGACGTACCCAGATCATGGCCTAGATCTTTGCCAAAGAAGATATATTTCAAGTTTTGGATTCTGCTAAGGAACACCACACTCATTCAATTAATTTCGTTCAAGCGACAACCACTAAATAGAAAAACTCAGATCTGCAAGGGGTACAAACGACAAAGAAGAGTACAAACGGTGAGAGCTCGATGCGATGGCATTAAGATGCTGAATAATTGAAGAAAGTTCCCAAGAAACTCCAAAAAACACAAAACCCCAAAAGTATTCTCGATTTGCTCGCCATAGCAGAGGATGAAGGGAAAAGCTTGTGCAGAGAGCTCAATTCCAGATCTAGAAGTAGCGGAGGAATGGTAGAGGAAGAAAACGCCTTCGGACGGACAGGGACGACGACACTACCACGCAGCAACTCACTATCATCGCCGCTAGACTGTGCCCGCTACAGCTCCTCCCCTTGACTCCGGCGTTGAACCAGATCCGGCCGCCGCCTCTGTTCTCTTTCCATCCTAACGATCAGCACCCTAAAATGAAAAAAAATATATAATAAACATCAATAAAAACAAAATCGAACAAATAAATCTGATATGCATGAGGCAATCTTACCGGGACAATGACCTATGTAGTCGGATTTGAGCTTCCTGCTGGCGACGGAGAAGAAAGGTAAAAGAGGTCGAGAGAGATCAGAAGACGAGAAAATGATGGTGGCCAACCTCGTCATCATCGCCGTCGTTCGCACGTTGTCTCTATCGGCCTAGTCGGAAGAAGAAAAGAGGAGGAAGAGCAAGAGTGAGCTAGGGTTTTATTTTTTTGCAGTTGAAGGGGGATTTAATTGTTTGCAGAAGGAGAAGAAGGAAGAGAGAGAGAGAGATAGAGAGAGAGAAACGCGGAGGCAAGGAGTGGGGAAGTTGAGCGTGATTAATATGGGGAGGGATTTTTGGAGAGGGATTGAGCGGGTGGGAAGAGGTAATTTGGGCGCCCACTCAAAAATTGGAATTTTCAATTTGGAGCCAAAAAAGAAATCACTATATTATGACGAAAATGTCTTTTGTCAAAGCCGAAACCACTATATTATGACGAACATGCCCTTTTGTCAGCTCGTCGTAGGATTATTGCTATCTAATGTGACAAAATACTTTGTCATTTAAATAATTCAAGAAGGGATAATATGACAAAAGCTACTCTGACAATATAATTTGTCATTTTTATGTCTCTTACATCCCGGTATGGGATACCTATTGTGATAAATTTAATTGTGACACAAAATATTTGTCACATTACTCACTTTAAATGACGACTTATTCTGACAACAATTATTTTGTCACATTAGGCATACCAAATAGGACATATATTATTTTTTGTCATATTACCGTACCTATTGTGACAAACAAAAAATGACAAAATAATTTTTTTGTCCTAATAGGCCGAATTTGTTGTAGTGAGGGCTCCAGATACGGTCAATAACCAGGAATGAGTAATCAAATCTCAGCCATCAGATTTAATTGGGCCCAGAAAATACAGATCTAAGGGTGGAGAATTAAAGACATTTTTATTTTCCTTGTTTTTGTAATCAGCTCATATCTTCTTCGTTTTAACTCGTACTTCAATTTTTTTTTGCACAGATGGAACGAGTTCGTTGTGATCTACAAAATGAGATCTATTTTTAATATTTTTTGAGAAAAAATTTCTTGCCTCTGCTACCAACTGCATCTCATATGGTATCTTTTTTGTTTTTATGTCGTTTTTGAAAATTTTCACACAGAATGAACGAGTTCATCATGATCTATTGGATCTACAAATTTCTGGGTGAACAAAATACAGGACAAAAAAATACCACCCAATACCACCCTGGTATGATGTGATATCTTGTGGTACACAATGTTGAAAGTCGTAAATGACAGTTAGTATACTTCTACTATCATGTATTCAATCATCCTACAGTTTTGGTATGTTCATACCACCATGGTAAGCTTTTTCATACCATATGGTATGCTCTTATTTAATACCAGTCAATACTATATGGTATATACTGGTAAAATAATTGCTTAATTTTTTTCGTTCCAAAGATATATAAAAATGGATATCATTTTGAAAAACACAATTAATCTTATCTAACTGTAAAAAACAATTCCGACTTAAAAAGAGCAAGAAATCGTCCGTTAAAAATTAAGTGGGACAAATTAAAAGCTTTCCATAAGAGAGAAGGGGCGATGATTTGACGGATTGTGATTGAGTTATACATGGTTACGCACTACAAGCTTATGCACAAGAACGACTCCCTGCACTACTCAAATCGTATTGTTGTTAATGTTAAGAAGAGGATGGCCTTACGGTTAGCATGGGTTCATGAATATCGGTTCCTGGGAGTTGTCTGATGGGGTTTCCCCTAGCATGGGTGGAATAATGGGTGTGGGCTAGGAGTGGAAGTTTGGTTTGCAGATTGCGGGTAACCCGCAAATCGCACCAAACCCCGACTTTGTGGATACCCATACCCACAATTTGTGTATAGTAGGTTGAGTGTGGGTAGCAAATTATTGATTTATGTGATTAGTGGTTAACCACTTCCCACAACAGTTTACCTACAAAAATCAAATACGTACTTATTCAATTAAACAAAACCAAGTCAATACGCAATGTTCGTGTGAGACACTTTTATCAAATAAGCATCATCGGTGTGGTATATGTTTACTTTATAACAAAACCAAGTCCATAGATATAGTCAGATAAATTAATCGATTCGTTAGAAAAAGGGAATAATCGATAATGGTTAGTTCGATACCCAAACTCGTCTTCATTTCTCCACGAACTCACGAACAACACAACATGCAACTAGCTACCAACAGCACAAAACTATAATCGATAGTGAAGGAATAATTGATTCATTAAAAGAGGGTGCCTACACTTATCAAGCCACTTTTGTGTTTTGTTGTTGTTGCCATCGGAGGAGCCGTGACATGCAACGATTTTTGTCTGGTAACAGGTCACTCCGCCTCTCTGTTATCTTCAAATCGCTTTCCAAATCCATCTCTTATGAATTTACACTAACTAACCTCTTCTATTTGAGATTTATAATTTATTTAACACTTTATTAACTTTCTTTTATGTATGTTTTTATTTTTGTGAGAAGAAACACAGCTTCACTATTTAATTACCATATTATTTTATTTAATGATGAAATTTTTGTGGGTATACACAACCAAACCGCACCAACCTGCATCGAATAGTGGATAGCATAACCACACCCGCAACAGGTAACCACACCCACCCCAATTTCCACTCCTAGTGTTGACTGTGGAGTCCTCTCATGAAATGCATATCCATATTCCAATCTTATTTTATTTTAGAAATGACATGTACAAACGAAAGATATTCCACCAAAGGCTCGCCTGGGGGATCACATGACCATCTGGGGACTTGAACAAGATGGAAGATTTCGGTTAAAGTCAGCCTATGCACTTACAGCAGAGACGGAGGAAGTCAACGAGCTGGAATCGGATCAAAATTGGGCGCAACTATGGAAATGGAAAGGCCCGAGTAGAATCAAGCACTTCATTTGGCTTTTTCAACATGATAGACTGATGACAAACCAGGAGAGGGCAAGAAGGAAAATCACTGACAATAGCAGCTGCAACAGATGCAAGGACAATGAAGAATCAATCGTTCGTATCTTGAGGGACTGTGGTAAAGCGAGGGTTGTATGGAACAACTTCAAGGACACGATTCAGGTCAAAAGCCACATGTTGCCTTTTAAGGAGTGGATGCTGAACAACCTGCTAACTGAAGAGAGAGGCGTTCATTTTGGGATTTTCTGTTGGAACCTTTGGAAACAACGCAACGAAGAAGTCATGAAAACAAGATTTATAATGCAATTGGCCTCACTTGCAGGATTCATGCTTGGTTCAAAATTTTGGAGGAGGTTGAAAAATGGGTCAAAATGACTACGATCTCAGCTAAGAGCACCAAGACTAAGACGCAGATTGCCTGGAAACCCCCTGAAGAAGGTTGGGTTCAAGTACAATCTGATGGTTCTTTCCTTCCACTTATTGGGAGAGCAGCAGCAGGGGGCCTTATCCGGGATCACTTGGGGAGGTGCATGAAAGCATACACCTACAACCTCGGATCGTGCTCAATCACGGCTACAGAACTCAAAGTTGCAGCAAAAGGCCTCAGGCTTGCGTGGAATGCAGGTTACAAGAAAGTGGAGCTGAAAATGGACTTGACGACAACCATTGCAATCATTCGCAACTGTGAAGATGAAGATCACATACATGGACACATGGCTTCTACCTTTTGTGAACTGTTTAATCTTAATTGCGTTGTGAATGTATTCCATGTTTATAGGGAAGCAAACTGTGCGGCTGATTTTCTAGCCAATTTAGGCTTCTCATATTCTTTTGGCACACATCTCTCCTATGTATGCGACCCAGGGCTTAGGCACTGGCCGATCCACGATGTACTGGACACGTCCCAGGATCAGATTGTCTCTTTAATGATTTAGGAGCACATGCGTCACTCTTTCTACCCAAAAAAAAAAGACATTCCGAAGACTCAATGGATACTTTTGTAATATGAATCATGGATAACTGAAATAAACCGTTGATGTAACACATGAAACAATGAAACCATTACATTCCTTTTAGTTAATTGACGTGATACAAGATTAATATTTAGGCATAAACAGCTAGTAGAAGATGAAATTTTGGGCTAACGACAAAACAATATTTGTGCTTTTGCAAGCTGCTGGTATACGCACAAAACACATCAATCATTCAATACGATACAGTAAATGAAACCCCCAACATCACAACAGAATGCAATGGACCAAACTAAAACAAACAACAAACAAAGAATACATGACAAACACCTTACTGCGTGACCCATGGCGCAATCGGAATGGGAAAACCAGCAAAATAAAGACCGTCGTCCTTGATCTCCCAGGTAAGTTCATGAAGCTTGGGCATCCCTTTCTTTCTTTGGCTTTCGTCGTATGCATTGAAAGATAGATGTTTCTTGCTGCGTGCGGTGGCCACATCACACCAGAAAAGCGTCGTACCGAAAATGTTGCGCGAAAAACTCCAACTATACACATCGCCGCTGACCAGGCGACGGGAGCCCAAGTCGTCATCTTTAGACTCGCATCGCACCGTGATCTTGCGCCCTCTACTCAATTGATTTGAAACGTTAATCTGAAGTCTGTACGACATTGCCGGATTGGCCATTGTGATCGTTGCCAGAAGAACCACCGCCAGTATTTTGGTCAACATTTTTTTTTTGGTCGCTATGTTAGAGTTTTGTGTTGTAATGGATATGTAATTTGATTGGTGACGATTGCCTTTAATAGTGTTCATCTCGAGTACGATTGGGCTGGTTTGGGCAGGGAGAAATGAAATTATCAATAATGGAATATTAATATAAGGGTAAGTATTGAAATATCTGTGTAAGCTTAACAGATGCTTTTTAATTTCTTTTCCGGGTGGCAAAATATGGAATGGTGTGTTGTACAAAAAAACTCCAACTTCTGTTTCCTAACAAGTGCCTAATTTTGATTTTTCCCCCCGAGCTATGCACAGAGCAATACACGTTGTCTGTATTGATAATATCCTTGACTTGTTTTCTGAATTATAGACCAAATGATACTAAAAATATTTAGCAAAGGAATTATTATGATGAGTGATTGCAAATCTTTCCTATTCGGATTGACTACTCATTTAAAATTTGGGATGACAACAAATTTGGATGAGATTTTCATTTATACCATTTATCAGTTATGTTTTTAAAATTGTAATTATTCCATAGCGGAAAGTAAGGGAATATAATGCATGACATGTAACAAAATCTATTCTTATGTAGAGGTGTCAAAATAGAATTCGATCTGACTAATCCGTCTACCGCAACTCGAATTGATTAAAAGTGAATGACCCGTAATCCGACTAGCCCGCAATCCAATTAACCGAAATTGATTCGAACCCGACTAACATGTTACCCGACCGACTCAATCTGAACCCCACATGATCGACTTGAATAATTATTGTATTATATAACATAATACATAGTCTTGCAAAATGAAGTTTTTTCGTTCAAAACATAGGTAACAAAACAAATACTAAATATAAGATCAACACAGTTAGATATAGTAGAACCTATCATCTGTCATCTTATCATAATAAATCAACAAAATAGTTTAGGTTAAAAAATTCTGAAACCCACTTGAAATTATGTATTTTTATAAAATTATTAAAACTAAAACATGAATGTCACTTCAGCACCATTGAATATAGTATATTTGTGAACATAACATGAGTTAAAAAGTTTATCATTTAGTAACTACGATAGGAGAACATAACATGAGTTAAAAAGTTTATCATTTAGTAACTACGATAGGAGACCTATTATGCGACATCTTATCATAATAAATCAATCGCTTTTTTTATAGCACACATACCTAACACTCATTATATGAACTAATTTAAGAACTTCCAATAAACAACGTACTTATCTAGCTATAGATACTAATTAATTTGACTATTAATTTTTTTAGACTATTGACTCGTCCCGGATAAAACAATAAATTCTCGCCTAATGTCCAATTATAAACCTTAGTCGGGTGCAGTATAGGATAAGTATATTTAAATATCAACTCGGGTTGGTCCGTGTACCCCTACTTTAGTCATTTGAATCATTTTCTAGCAACAAAGTTTTGGTTGAAAAGTTTGCTAATTAAAGTAAAATAAGGCAAAGGTAAATGGTTTTGAAAGCTCTTCAGGAGAAGGATCACTCGAGTGTCGCTCCCCCCTAACTACTATCATGGTATGTGAATTGGAACGATTGCTATGGGCAAGATAACCGCGAACCGCAGAGGGATGCAAATATGGTCGTAGACCACAATCTCAATTGCTAAATCGAGGTATACATTATAGGTCGTCTCACTCGGCCCTCTCGGTTTAGGCAACCGGTGGTTGACTTACTCCCTCACTCAACTCAAGGGTTGGACGGCTTAATCGCGCTTAACCAATTTTCTTAATTCAACATTAAGGTTTTCCCTAAATTAACCTAGTTAGGTGGCTTAAAAAGCTTAAGGAAAACCAACTCGATTGAGTCTCCCTTGGAAGGGGGATTTTCCTCTCTAAGCTAGCAACATGCACAAACCTAAGGATGCTAAGCACAATTATGCACAAACCTAAGGATGCTAAGCACAAAACATGCATAATCCTTAGATGGCTAAGCACAAGCATGCACAATCAACATGAATAATAACTCAATCATTGAATTAAACAATACCCATGACAATCATTCAATTCACATAAAAGAAACTACATGGTAGCTAGTTAGGGTTTCACAACACCCAAGTGAAAAGAAATCTACTCCATGCTAGAAATGGGAGAAACACAAGGAGAAGAGGTAGAAACCATCTTGGAGGAGGCTTCCAATCTTCTTGGCCCTTGTGTTGACCTTCTCTTGGGGAGAATCTTCCCAAAATCCACCTTGGAGCAAAATCCTAGCCTTCTTTTTCTTTGGTTCGTCTTTCTCTCTCTAGAAATCTGAAGAAGGCTTTCTCACTCAAAAGGGCTCCCCCCTCTCTCTTCCTTTCAGCTCATCTTTTAAAGAGGGGACGAGCTCAGTTCACGACCGTGAACTGTGAAACGCGTACGTGAACTGTAGACTGGCGCCAAAACGCATCGCTTCGTTTGCTTCTGTTCACGGTCAACAGCTCCAGTTCACGGTCTTAGTAACCGTGAACTCGCCTTGAGTCAGTAACCTCTGGAATTGCTCTAGACGCCTCAAAGTTCATGGTCAATAGCTCTTCTTCACGGTCATACAAGACCGTGAACTTCCAAGGAAAGTCGTGAACTCGCCTTTTTTCACCTCTTCTCCCGGTTTTCGATCCTTTTCGTCCAACTTTCGACTCCGAGGCTGGTTTCACCTGTTAAATCCTGAAACATGCTAAACCCAAGAAACCTAGCGTAAAACCAACCTTTTAGGAGAAAATTTGCCACAAATGTCTAAGTAAAACGGGGTAAAACATGTACAATTAGGCATGAATCACTCCCCCACACCTAGATGTTTGCTTGTCCACAAGCAAACCATTTCACACTAGGTAATATTTCAACCTACACAAATACGTTGGGGACTAATCAAAGGGCACAAAGTGGGAATACTCAATGGCTATTGGCAATTAACACATGGACCATTGCAAGCAATATCGACATCCACCACAAACAACATTTGAAGCCACCAAAAACGGGCAAACGAAAAGTTCTCACCTTGTTCATGGATCAATGCAAGTCGCAACGAAACCACTTATCAACCACAACTAACCATGCATGGAATTCAAGTCCAAGGAAAAAATGGGAAGGCAACCAAGGTCCTCAACGGGGTTTCATACGAAATGCAAAGCAAGAATGAATCACTCACTCTCCAGACTAGTGGGGTCGGGAATTTTTTGGTGCCAAAAGATGTGCACAATCATTAACTCTCAGCCCTATTGTCTCAACACCACGGCGGCAACCTTTAAATGCTAGAGTTCACTGAATGGTTGTTATCACTAGCTTGTCCGGAGGTCTTAGACACGAGTTCAGATGACTGGCAATTGTCTTGGACATAGGAAAAAGACATTTTGGGTGGTGGCAATCATTATGTGAGGTTCTACATCTTCAACCTAAACCCGAAGGTTCTATGGTTTCGACTAAACCCCTTCGCTTCAACCAAAGGCCACTAGCATTGACCAAAAACCTTATCTCTCCTTTCCAAACTATCACCCATCGTGAACTACAATGACGCACTCTTCCTCGATCTACTCTTCCTATCATCTTTCGATTTGGTAGTGAAGGAGTTCTAAAACAATGTGGGGTCTCAATGGCTCGAGTGCCAAGAAACCCCTCCTAGAGCATACACTTTGGTTTTCGTGGCACTCTCTACTTTATTTACCCTATTTTATTACCTCTTTTTCGTTTTTCTTTTCTTTCTTTTCTTTTCTTTTTGAGGGGGTACTAGTGAGTAAAACCTTTGTCACCTATACATTTGACGACCAATGCTCTCTTTTTGAAGAACTCACTCCAACACTACACTTCATGCTAGATAGGCCCAATGGCTAGTATGATTTTTGGGTAGTTTTATATGATTTTAGGTCAAAATACTACGAAAGAATATTGTTGGAGGGGACTAGGACCATTTACGAGAAGGCGTAAGGGCCCATAAGCAAAAAAGAAGTACGATCGACCCCAACTTCATGCTAGATAGGCCCAATGGCTAGTATGAACCATAAGAAGTCAAAAGCTCCAATCCAAGGAGAAATGATGACACGTGATTCGTAGAAGTTCCAGTGACTCCAGAACTCAACCAAAAATTGATTTAGGGAGAAAAAACTAGGATTATGAGCCTATAAATACATCCTTCATAAGAGTAGTTAATAAAATTTGTTAAGTACTGAACATCTTAAGGTGATTCTCACCGAGCACTTCTACTATGCTATATAGTATTGGTGCTTTAATGTACAACTTAAAGTGGTACCATAACATTAAATGTATAAGTTTAGGTTGTACCATAAAGCAATTTGTATCATTATGTTATGGTACAATTTTACAATTTGAAGTTGTACCATCACATAAAG